AAAGTAACTTTAGTTTTGCCATGAAGGTGGGAGAGATTGAAAATATTCCCATCCATCCTGTACTCTGCTGACACCATGTGGCAGAAGGTCATGGATGAGCATCTTGATGACTGCAAGAAAGATAGATAACAGAAATGGTGTGATCATGCATCCCTGCCTAATGCCAGTTTGAATGGTAAAGGGCTCCACAGCAGAGCCACTGCATAGGATAGAGGCTACAGTCATCTGGTCATGAAAGAATCTTAGGATGGTGATAAATTTCCTGGGCAGCCAAAATTTGCAAAGATCTTCCATAGGGCCTCATAGTTAACAGAGTTGAAGGCTTTGGTTAAAACAATAAAGTCCATATACAGTGTTTACCTAACTGGATAGCTGCTTCCAGGAAAATCATTCAAATTATGGTCGAAACGCAAAAATGTCCTTTGCATCCTGGAATATATGAACCCAAACAATGACAGACCTGAACACAGAAGAGCTATTGTTGCCTGAGAACTCTTGGGATATATAACATTGATATTGCTGCTCTTGGCAAGACCAGACATGCAGATGAAGACCATCTGAGGGAGGAGGAGGGTGGCTATATGTTCTTCTGGAAAGGGAAACCTGCAAACAACAGCTGAATACATGGCGTTGGTTTCACCATTAAGAACCAGATTGTCAGAAGAACGACTGCATTCCCTGTTGACATTAACCAATCAGAGGCATTAATGAGGCCAGCAAAGGCCATATACAGGGACTGATGTTGTTTCCAACACTTTTTTTGGATCTGGTGAGCAACAGAGATCATGCCAGCTGCCTCATGGGATAGTCTGAAAGCATGCTGAGATTCTGGCAGGAGCTCCTTGGTGAGAGGCAGAGATGGTTCAGGAAGATGTGGGCAAGGATTTTCCCTGCTGTGGAAAGGAGGGCAATACCTTGATAATTCCCACACACAGACTTATTTTGTTCTTAAAGATAGTCATGATGTTAGCATTCTTGAAGTCCCCAGGGATTTCTATGTTGTTCCAAATTCATGGATAAATGTATTGAGTCTCAGTACCAGTAACCGGCCTTACAGATTTCAGCAGGTATGCCACCGCGGTCCAGTAGCCTTGTTGTTCTTAGTTTCCTTGATGGCATGCCAGACTACTTCTAGGCTAAGAGGGTGATGAAGCATCCCATTTCACGGTGCGGGGGAGGGGGGAAGACTTGATGGTGGTATAGCCAGTTGACTCATGGTTTAAGAGTGTTTCACAGTGTTATTTCCATCTAGTCTGGATAGCTTGTTTTGGAGGAGAGTGGAGCCATTCTGTGAGAGCATATATACGCATACATATACGTAGACATATGTACATATAGCATACATATACACATATAAATATATATACTTTTATACATACATACATACATATACACATACACTGTAAAAATACACACACATATATATACACACACATAAATAAAAGATTATATATATTAAGGCTATATATATAAAAGTGGTTCCCAATCTGTTGTACATGTACCATCAGTGGTAGGCAGACAACCTGTCAGTGGTACACATTAACAGATTTATTATAATTACTTTATATGACAAAAATTTGCTAGTTGTATTTAAGGTTGACCTGAAAAATTCACTGGTGTTACTTAAGGCGGTATCATTGTTTGGGAACCACTGCTATATACATATATATAAGAACAGATGGAGATGCACAAGTGGGAGCTGAAGGTGATGCACCCAAAGGTGCTGAGGGAGTTGTCCACTGGCCATTATCTTTGAAAATTCATGGTTGGGAGAGGTCTTGGATTGGAAAAGGGCAAATACAGTGTTCATCTTTAAGAAAGAATCTTTAAGGAAGATTTAGGGAACTACAGATCAGTCACCCTTACCTCAGTCCCTGGAAAAATCATGAAGCAGGTCCATTTTTAAGCATATGGAGGAGAAGGTGATTAGGAAGAATCAGTATGAAGTACCCATGGGCAAGTCATGCCTGACCAACCTGATTGCCTCCTATCAGCATGGATTTAATTTAAATCAAATCAATTTAAATCATGATTTAAAATCACTGGTCACTCAGGAAGCCTCAATTTAATCACTGTTTTCTAACAAAAAGTGCATTCTTGTTGTTGGATATCCTTTATTCATTTAACTTCTTCAAATGCACATTTAGAGACAGTTAAGGGCTTGACTGTGTGTACACAAACGCAGACAGACAATAGGGCAGATGAGAGACAGCAGACCTGAATACCCACCCATCTCCATAGACTGCTATTAACAAGGATGTTATCTCTGGAGACAGCAAACTCCCCCTTTGCCTGAAGAAGGGCATTTGTGCCCAAAAGTTTGCAAAGAACAATTTTTGCAATTTAGCTAGTCTAGTAAAAAGAACCTTGTCTGCCTATGATCTCTGAAGACACAAATCCATAGTTCGAGAACTGAAACTAAGCATTAAGAGATGCTTAATGGGATCTTCTGACTGAGCACTGGGTCCCACTGGGTAGAGTGGTTTTCTTTTATCTTAACTAATCTGTAGAGAAGCTTCTGAGAACTCCGTAAGATTGGGCCCCTAATATGGCCTGTTGTAAACTTTTTACAAGTTTCATAAATAGTTCACATGAATATATTGTCTCAAGTAGTATATAATTAGAAGTTACAATCCCTATTCCATGATATCTTGAGCTTTAAGATAATCTAATTAAACGCATCTTTACATTGAAGTTTTCTTTAAAAAGCATCCTAACAAAAAAATACAATTAAATTTAAAAAAATCTGATTTAAAATTTAAAGATTGTTTTTAATTTTAAAAAACCAATAATTTATTTTTAATCCACCCTGCCTTCTATGTGGATGCAGGGAGACCAGTGGACATGACATGGTTCAAATTATACTTCGACTCTTCAGGGGGCCTGCCAAAAAAATTGGCCAGGTTCAGGGCTGTGTGCACAGGTCCCTGCCAGTACTGTGGGGCTGTGGCCAGTGGTAGTGGCAGCTGAAAGGAGCCGCTGCCGCCACCTGAGCTGTTTAGAAAGACATGGTGCGGGCTAGGGGCTGTGCATGGTTGCACGTGGGCTCTGGGCTGTTGCAGGGGCATGGAAGAAGTGCTGACTGACCCGTGGGGGAGCTCTCATCTCTTATGGGGGAGCTCAGCCCCCACTGAGCTCCCCTGTAATTCAAACCCTGGATATGATATACCTCAACTTTAGCAAAGGTTAACAACATTCCTCCTACAACATTCTTGCAAGCAAGCTAAGGAAGTATGGGTTGGATGGACTATACGGTGGATAGAAAACTGGTTGGATCTTGGGCTCAGAGGGTAATAATCAACAGCTCGATATCTAGTTGATGGCCAGTATAAAGTGGAGTGAGCCGGGGTCAGTCCCAGGGCCAGTTTTGTTCAATATTTTCATCAAGCACCTGGAAGATGGCATAGAGCAGACCCTCAGCAAGTTTGTAGATAAACCAAACTGGAGTGGGTAGTAGATATCCTGGAGGATAGGGCTAGGATTCAGAGTGACCTAGACAAATTGGAGGATTGGGTCAAAAGAAATCTCATGAGGTTCAACAAGGACAAGTACAAAGTCCTGCACTTAGGATGGAACAATCCCATACACCAGTACAGGCTGGGTAGCAGCTCTGCACAAAAGGACTTGAGCAGTGTGCCCTTGTTGTCAAGATAGCTAACAGTATACGAGGCTGTATTTGTAGAAGCATTGCCACTAGATTGAGGAAAATGATTCTTATTTAGTCTACAGAAGAGAAGAGTGAGGGGGGATTTAATAGCAGCCTTCAACTACCTGAAGGAGGGTTCAAAACAGGATATAACTAGACTGTTCTCAGTGGCGGCAGATGACAGGAGGAGCGACGGTCTCAAGTTGCAGCAAGGGAAGTTTAGGTTAGATACTAGGAATAATTTTTTGACTATGGGGGTAGTAGAACCCTGGACCAGGTTATCCAGAGAGACTGTAGAGTCCTCGTCTTGGAGGTTTGTAAGACCAGGCTTGACAGAGCCCTGGCTGGAATGATCCAGTTGGGCCAGGTCCTGTTTTGAGCAGGGGGTTGAACTAAATGACCTCCCGAGGTCCCTTCGAACCCTAATTTTCTACGATATAGTCTTCAATACATGTAGTATATATACAAATAGTACATGTATACATACATGCACACCATACTGGTACAGTCTTTTGTATGCATGTGGGTGTATCTTTTTTTAGTGCTTCCAAGTCCTTGGCCTTGGATGTTTATTGGGAAAACAAGCAAGATGGACAGGACAGACTAGATCCGATATCTTTAATCTGAATGCACGATGCCCAGCCCAGCAGCTCCGAGTCCCTGAACCTCCTTTTTCTGAAGACTTCTAAATTCCCGTCACCATCTGGTTTTGTGCAGCTGAAGGAGACAGTGCAGCCCCAGGCCCGAGCGGTCCCCGTTCAAGAAGGGGGACAGGCGGGACGGACCGCGGCGCTGAGGCAGCGACAGGCACCCCCGGTCCTGCTCACAGCCGGCCCGCGGGACCCGTGGCCGTTCCGGCCTACCCACGGCGGCCCCAGGACCCCACCCGCATGGGCCCTCCCCCACAACGGGCGGCGTAGGGACACAGCCGCAGGCCACCCCGGAGGTGAAGAGCGGCCGTCACACCCCGCATATCCCCCGCGCCCGGACTACGCTCACCTAGGCCGCCTGCCGCTACCGCCGCCGCTCTCCAGCGCCCCGCAGCCCTTCCCAGCGTGCCCCGCGCTCGGGGCAGGGGTGGTGCGAGGAACGGGGCTCGCGGCCGCCTCGGCCAATAGGAATGCGCAGCCGCCTCGCGGCTCCCAACGCCGCTGGCGCGAGGGCGGAGCGCGCAAGTCTCGCCGAGTCACGTGACGAGCGGTGCCCGCTGGCCTTTGTCCCGCCACCGGGCTCATGGAGGCGCCTGAGCCGCCGTCGCCTCAGGCCGCCGAGGAGGACGATGATTTTGGCTATAGGTTCTTCCCCGAGCGGCACAAGGCGCCGCGGCACTCCGTCAGCCGGAGCATTTTTCCGGAGCATAAGCGCTGCCGCGCGCGGCTGCAGCTCGCGCTTGAGACCAGTGAGTGCCGGGCCGGGGCTGTGGGGTGCTCTCGGGCCAAGCGCCGCCTTCTGAGTGGGGCGCTAGCAACGGCCTTGCAGCTACTGGAGCCGGCTGTTGCTTCTCCCGGCTGCCCCTGGGGGCGGGCAAACCCCCCCACATCCTGCGTGAAGCACGGTGGCAGCAGGCGGGTTGGAAGTACCAGCGCACCTCAGACCCGAGCAGTGTTGGCAGGTTTTAAAGAAGTTATAGTATTGGAATCTCAAAATGATCGTAGTTACTGAAAAATTACTGTGCACTGAAAAAAGATATGCGAATAAGTATGCAAATGTGTTGTATTTACTTTGTATTGCTCACTGTAAGTCGCCAGTGAGCGAGTGGGGACTGGGCCATCAAAGCTGAAGCATTTCTTTATGTTGAGGTGAGCAGTCATGAGAGTGCTGATGGCAAACCAGAAGGCTGTTAAGACTCTATGGGAGTGACCTCAGTTTTGTATATGCTGCATCAGTTAGCTGCCTCAAAAAGTACTGTATGTTTTGAGCACTTTTACTATTATTTATTATACACTGGACAGGGGTTGAAATTATCATATAAAGCAAGATGGGCAGGGCGGGACTAAATTGGGCATCTGCCCTCTGCCCCAACCCTGCCTATTATTCTGAAGACTTAAATTCCCATTGCCACCTTATTTTTTGAACAATTTAAAAAGACAGTGCAGCCCCAAGGCCAAACACTCCCCAGCCACAGCCTTTATTTTGATAATTATCGTACACTGGGCATTACTGGACCCGAGCCCCACCCTGCCCGCTCCTGTGAAGCCTTGAGCAAGGCATAAACTTTCATAAGCCAGAACCAACTTTGTCATGCAAGGAGTCATTTCCTTCTTTGCCACTTGGCTGTGAAGGCTGCAGAGAGGCAGGCAGCTGTGGGAACCTCGTCCCAGTTCAGCAGGGGCACCTTTACTGACTGAAGCATGGGACTCAGTAACACAGTGATAGCAGCAGCGTCTCTTGCTTACAGCTGCCATTTGTGTTTGGAGACCCAGGAAATGGCTTGTGACAAGTGGACATTTCCATTAAAGTGATCATTTCTAAAATGTCATGCTTGCGAAGCTGAATAGTAAATCTCAAGGCTGCCTTACTCAGACTTATTTGCTCAGTGACTGCTTGCATCCTGGTTAAAGCAGGAAAAAAAATCTCTTTACAAAAATGGCTCATACGTATTCCCCCTCCCCTTCCTTGTTCTTTCTATAGCTCTATTCTCCCTTTTCCAGGTAATAAGGCATACACTGACCTTTCTGCTATTATTAGGGGTATACTTAAATTGCAGTTTCATGGATTTCACAGAAACCACGAAATCTGGGACTGTCCACAAAGTCAGCAACAAAAAATTATGCTGGCTCCCCAGTGGTCAGTGGTCCTCCCTGCTGCTGGAGCCCAGCCTTACAGACAAGTGGAGGGAAAGGTGTCAGGTGGCTGGGCTGAGTGAAGGGCAGCAGAAAAGATGGTCACCGCTCCCTCCCCCTCCCTCTCCCTCTTCCCCTCTCTGGGCCTCTCCTCTAATCTGTGCTGAGCGGCAGGGCTGCATGAAGGGCAAATAGCAGTCAAGATGGCGGCTGCTGTGTTCCCTGCTTACCCCCTGGGCACCTCTGCCAATCAATAGCAAGGGGCTGGGCTGCCAGGATACGCCCATGAAATAAACTCTTCATGCCAAGACCAAGCCATGAAAATTTCTGTCTCTCACCATGAGTTAAGCAGACCCCAGCTGTTGTGCACCAGCTACACTAAGTTCTGTACAAAATTTGGAAGTAGTTTTTGGCCTCTATGCAAACATTTATCCTCAAACTTATGTCTTAGGTTAGTGGTCAGCAACATGGGCTGTGAGCCACAATGATCCAGCTCAGGTCAGAGGCAGGAAGGGAGATGCTAGGACCCAGCCACTACTGCTGCTCATCCCTATGGTGGCATACAAACAGTTTCTTCTGCTGAATACTACTGAAGCCCCACATCCACAAACTGGATCAAAAGGCTCCATGGCCAGATCTGGCCTGTAGGTTGCTTACCTCAACCTTAGATTGAGCAGTGAATGACTTTTAATACTATGTTATGTCAAACTGCATGATTACAGATGCAAGACAATACTTTTCTAACATGTTATGTATGCAGTGTACAGAGCTCGCTTTTTGATTTCCTTCCATGAAATAAGCCACAGACAACTTTTGCTTTCCGTATAAAATTCTTATCTAGAGAAATTGATTGCATCACTGTTTTTCTAGGTCCATATGCTAAGCTTCTACTTGATGCTATGAAGCAGTCTGGCTGGTAAGTTAACCTCTAACCAGTGTTGTCTCGTATACTGACTTATAGGGATTTCTTAGTCCTTCTTTAAATCTCACTTCTTGCTTTTTGGCCTTCCAGCACTGCTTTCAAAGAACGGCATTTTGTATGTGAGACCTGTGATAAGCGTGCTGTTGGAGGCTTTGATGCTGCTACCTCACAGGTGGGCACTGAATTTTGTGTCTAAGTGGGACTGTCCAACTTTGAAGCAGCCAAGGGCCACGCAAGTGCAAGCCATGGGCCTTCTGGCCTGCACATGACATGGGTGTTCCGCCCCCACCTTGCTGCCCATGCTTCAGCCTCACCCTTAGCTCTGGGCTCCCCCACTGCACCATGTCACTTAGGCCACAGGCTTTCCCTGCATGACAGGCTGTTCCATCCTACTTCATGTCACTGAGGGGGGTATCAGCCAGGTGGAAGCAAAAGGGCCACAAATTAACCTCTTACAGGTGACATGTGGCCCATGGGTTGCCAGTTGGAAAGTCCTGTGTCAAAGCATTTGAAAGTCTTAGGACTTTACTATTAATTAAAAAAGAAAAAAAGAAAATACCATTATAATCAAAAGCAGATATTGATGATATTAAGTCCACAAAAGAAAGGTCATTTTAAAATCTAGACAGTGCAACATTTATAGTACGTACAGTCACGTGAACTATAGAGATACTAGCATGGAACAGACTGGAATGGCAGCTGCTGAACAAAGATTTTGAACATCCTTAAGGTTCTTGATAAGAGAGATGACTTATTCTGGATCTTTGAGAGATTAGAAGAAGTGGAAATATAATAGGACTATTTAGCTAGGACAACAGACACATACATTTTTCAGTGACAAGTCCTTTAACTTATTTCCTGTGTTTACTCTACAGATTGTTTTGTGTCAGAACAATATTCATCGTCAGTCTCTTATGAACCGAGTGGTTACACATGAACTGATTCATGCTTTTGATCACTGTCGTGCCCATGTTAATTGGTTAGGCAATGTGAAACATGTAGCCTGTTCAGAGGTAAGTAAAAAGCAAGGTATGTAGGAGTAGAACTTGAACCATTGGTTTAATGGTTTAATAACCATTACAATTAACATACTAACAGAAAATGATTTGTGTGCAACAAGGCAGGTTCAATTTAAATCAAATCCATTTAAATCATGATTTAAATCACTGGTCAGGAAGCCTCAATTTAATCACTGTTTTCTACAAAAAGTGTGTTGTTATTTGATATCCTTTATTCATTTAAATTTTTGAAACTTTTCACTTTTAGAGAAAGGTAAGGGCTTGACTGTGTGTACACAAACTTGCAGAGAGACAATAGGGCTGATGGATGGGTAAACAGATCTGTCATCTCACATCTCTATACTGTTAACAAAGATGTTATCTCTGGAGACAACAAACTCTCCCTTTGCCTGAAGAAGGGCATTTGTGCCCGAAAGCTTGTAAAGAACAATTTTTCCAACTATTTAGTTGGTCTAATAAAAGAGATCACATTTACCCAGAGAACGTTGTCTGTCTGATCTCTGGAGACACTAATCCACAGTTTGAGAACTGAAACTAAGCAGCACAGAGATACTTAATGGGATCTTCTAGAGTAGAATGAGCACTGTGTCCCATTGGGTAGAGTGGTTTTCTTTAATCTTTACTAATCTATAGAGGACCTTCTGGAAACCCCATAAGATTGGGCTCCTAATATAGTTCATGGCCTGTTGTGACCTATTTATAAAACTTCTGAAAACGGTTACATGAATATACTGTCCCAAATAGTTTATAATTAGAAGTTATAATCCCTATTCCATGATGATATCTTTGAGCTTTAACAGCTCTTCAATTAAAACTATCTTTACATAAGTTTATTTTTTAAAAGGTTTTGAACAACAAAAAACCCCCATTAAATAAAAACATCTGATTTAAATTTAAAAATCCAATTTGTTTTATTTTTTTAAAAAATTGTTGATTTGTATCCATCCTGATGTGTAACCAAGCATACAACCATTTAAAATGTATTCAGTTTAATCCTGTCTTCATTTACTTTCCCATTTCCTTTGGTTTAGTCTATAGACTAGATTCATTCAAAGCACAAGCAATAATGCTTTATTTCGGATTTTACTGGAGATGCCATGCATCTTTCATATTTATCATCTGCTTCTGTTTAATGATCAATTAAGTTTATCAAATACCAGTAGATATAAAGAATAACAATACACAGAGATAATAATGAGGTATTTCTAATGCCACTTTTTTCAGCAAGCATGGACATTTTGCATAATTATCATAGTTAACACAAAATTGCTACTTCCTATAAAAATATATACTTTTTCCCATTCATTTTTAGCACGCCGATCTCTGATTATTGCACTTTATCCATTGCTGGAGAATAGGTACTGCTAAGCCCATTGTTGATTAGAAGATAGTCCCTTGAATAGCCCAGAGAACTGTATAGATTATGAGAGAGAACCAAGCTATTTATTAAATAATTTACTCCGGGATATGAAACTAGAAGTATATAATATAAACTATCTGAATGTCATCTTTGCTGTTTTGCCAAATTGTAACTAGATGGCTCATGTGTCTTTTAACATACTCTCTCTCTTGGATATTTCCAGTACTTTGGACAATCAAAATATAAATACTGCACATAAAATAAGGGATATGAGATTTAAAATGAAATTGATCTTTTGTTTTTCTGGGAATTAGTAACTTGTACTTTTTAATTATTATGTGTCATCATGGGGCTCTCTTTTTAGTTTAACAAATGTTTTCCTTTATTCACAGCTATATATATTCATTTTCTTTTAGGAGAGAACCATTTTTTCTGTATGTGGTTTCAAATAATCTAATTTCTTTGCTGTTTCTCAATCTAGCGCTTATGCTCAAGCCAGAAAGCTTAAAAATTAGGTATAAGGAAAAAGAAAAAGTCAAGGGCAAGGGAAGAAAAATAGTGAGAAGGAAGGAGAGAGAGAGAGATCAATTCAAGTGTATTTTTCTCTACAGCAGATGTGTTCTTGTTTCTTTGGGTAATACAGTAGGTGGTTCTTTGAATACCTGTTTGCTTTCTCTGCGCTTTCATCAGCCCTCATGCAGATGACAACAGAAACATTTTGCCAAGTTTTCAGGTTCAACTGTGGGTCCCAAATGCTCTTCAGTATTCTTTCATTTTACATGCAGAAATGTGTAACTTGGCTCTTTGGAACTACAAGCAGGTATATCTTCCTGAACAATGTAAAGCAGGGGTTGGCAACCTACAGACCACTGGTCAGATGCAGCCCACAGAACATTGGATACGGCCTGCAGATGTGAGGCTTTAGTGGGGTGCTGCAGAACACTAGCATTGTTAAATATTCAGGCATGATTCACAAGATTAACTCAGTGATTCCAAGTCGTTCATATTGTTAAAAAACCCCTGTAACCTGCTGTGATGTTTCTGAGTTCTTTGAAGTAGAATAATTTTCAAGAAATAAATGAAAACTAAAAGCAGCATTTTCCAAAGGGTGCCGTGAATCTAAAGAGGGGGCGGGGGTGCATTGAGGCTAAAAAGGTTGAGACCCACTGGTGTACAGAAACGGAATCCTCGTACGCATTCCTCACCATCCATCATGATGGAGGACTTCAACAGAAAAATGTTGGAAACTACTTTAGTATGCTACACTAAATTTGTAACACTGAGTTTTCCATTTATTTTCTTTGCTTTTGTGTTTCCATACTAGGTTCGAGCTGCTAACCTCAGTGGAGATTGCTCACTAATGAATGAAATAACCAGATTTAAATTTGGATTAAAAGGGCATCATCAGGTAAAGAAACTACATTGAAAATAGTACTAATTTATATTAAAGATCAGTAATGGTCCAATAGGCTGCCACACCACAGATCAACTCTCAGTGAATGCCCAGCCAAAACGTTACCACTGAAAGATGTAGATGACTAGCAATCATTTTGAGCCTTTGTATAAATTTATATTAACCTACCACACCCTGAAGCCCAGTCCTCCTGGTTTCACTGTCTCCTCCTGTTCTCTGTCTTTTCTAGTGTGCGCTCACTCACTCTCCTAAGTTATCTTTTCATCATTTCACCAGTTCTTCATATTTCTCAGCTTTCCCTGGTGTCTCTGTTCAAGGTTCCCTGTATTCAAAATTATGATCATATACTTTATTTTAAAATCTTTGATTTACGAATTGATGGATGCATAGCAGAACCAAAAAAAAAAAAAGAGTTAGACCTAGCCACAGTAATTTTGTAAATTGTTACCTGTAACTTCTTGTTTGTTATTTTGTAATTTGTTCTTGCATTACAATTATAAGGGCTTTTTATGATTATTATTCCATTTTTCTCAGACTTGTGTACGAGACAGAGCTGTTCGTTCCATTTTGGCTGTTAGGAATGTCAGCAAAGAAACAGCAGAAAAAGCCGTGGATGAAGTTTTTGACACCTGTTTCAATGATCAGGAACCATTTGGAAGAATACCACACAATAAAAAAGATGCAAAATATGCTTACAAGGATTTTCAGAACAGAGATCAATATTATGCAAATATTTAAAAGACTGTTAATCTCTTGGTTGTAATACTGAAAACAGAATGCAGGCAACTTGTGCTGATGGAGGGGGAAAATAAAGTTACTCACAACTTTGTATCGTCTCCTTGCCCAAGAGCCAAGTTTCACTGGTGTTTGCGAGATGATCAGAGCTGAGATTTCCTCATCTAGTTTTTGGTGTTTCAGTATTTCAAAAGACTTAACAGGAATTTTTAAACTACACATTTTGGTGCATATGTAAATCTGCTTTGGACCAACCAAGAATTCATTTTCAAAATGTTTGTCTTGTGCCATTACTGAATGAACTGGTATCTTAAAGCCTTTAGAGCTTTACAGTTTGTACTTGTGCACATAAAAATTTGAGTCTTGTGCATTTCTTTTCTTAAGTGACTATCCAAAATCAGATTCTTGAATCTACATGTGAACACATAAGAATAAGTCCACAAAAGAACTTAGGTATTTGACATCCAGCAGCTAAGTGCCACTGAGCAGAGGCATTAGCAAGCTCATTCAGTAGTTGGGAAGTTTTGCCTGCTTAGGCTCTCTGCACAGGTAAGTCAACTGGTACTGCTACAGCAGCGGTAGCAACACCTGCTTGCCTTAAGTAGAGAGCCTGGGTGGCAGCAGTAGAGAGAAAGTTTGGCAGAGGAGGAGACTCCAACTCACATCTCTTATCCTTTTGATTTGAAGTAGGGATTTGAACCTAGAATTTTCTAACCACCATGCTGTGTTCTGGTATGATTGTTTCTGCCTCTGAGGACCTTCACAAGAACCCTAGTGTAGAGCTCTAGGAAAATGTCATAGTTGTGAATAGAGATCTTCCTTACATCCTGAACTTGGCCATCTGTTTACCTTATAGACATAAGCTTTAGGCCCATCTGTTAGTAGATAGTGCCTTATAAACATAAGCTTTAGGCCCACTGTCTACCTGATAGTGCTAAGGGATCATTAAAGCACAATTAACCCTGAAGTGGGCATGAAATACGAAAACAGCTTGATCGATACAACAAATATTATCTTAACAGTGTCTATATACAGAGAAAAAAACATATAGTTCAATGATCTCACCCAATTTCCAGGTGCTATCTTTGCTCAATAGAAAAGGTGGGCAATCAGTTCCTGAAAGTAGAGGATGTGACAGTGGAAAGTCTGTGCGGCAAAATCCGGACAGGTGTTGAGGGCTGTATTTATGATGACACACACTTACCTTTCCTGCTGCTTCCTTTTATGTTTTTCTTCAACTTCACACCTCTGATGACACACTGTTTTTGGATATCATTGATTGGTTTTCATGCAGTCAGCATACTGTCCATATTTTTATCCTGTCAGCATATTCCTTTGTTCAGAACCATTACAAGCACACTTCCTAATTTGGTCCTTTGCTGGTGTCTTAATCTGAGCATTGTCCTCTGATTCAGCCGGTTAGTGCCAAGTTCAGTTATTCTGAGCTGGTAACAAGGCTGTTACTATGTTAGAAAAAATTCTCACAGTGATAAAAAAGGAAAGAACAGATGAGCAAGCTCAAGGTTATGAGCTGCCTGTGAGAACAGCTCTTGGTCAGCTGGTAATACACGCACAAGCAAAATGAAGAGTTCAAAGAATAATGAGGTTATACATAAACTTAAGCAATGGTTAAATAAGGCTGAATATAAGAGAAAAGTTTAAATAATACTATAATTTACCACTCAGGCAGGTGGAACCTTAAGCATAAGTGTGACAAGCTACCCTAACACATCTACTTGGCATTTCCTACTGGTTAACTTTGGTGGCTCTCTGCTTAGCTTTCTGGTTTCTATAAGTCCTGTTCTTCAGTGCATACATTTCTGTGTGCGTTGTATATCAAGTCTCAGTACTTCAAGTAGGGAATCCACAAGGTGGTAGAATGCTTAAAAGTTTGGCTTTGGAAGAGGAAGAAAATGGTATCTAAATACTTTCATTTTCTGAACCTCAATGCTTGTTGGAAAATCTCAGCCCAAAATAAGAGGCTTACACTTCCAAATGAGCTGAGCACTAACCACCCCCTAATGTCAGGGAAAATTTTAGGTGCTCAAATGTTTTCAAGATCAACCTTTTCTTTTAACCTTATCTTAGGCACTGACAACTTTGCTCTTTTTTATAACACTGTTACAAAGTTTAATAAAATGCAACCTGCTCATTTTTAAATTGAATACTCATTTATGTTTTGAAATGAGTATTGTTTTCAACCATCTGGGAAACACCACTGCAGCACATGTAGACCATGCAACCCCAGGCCTTGTAATCAATATGTTCATTTGCAACCCTGTTAAGTGGTTGTAAAATGTCACCTTTCTGACTTAGTCCTGTTTCAAACAACCACTTGAGCAAGGCTGTAGAGATTCTGGCTTCAATTAGACTGCTGCAGATGGTTGAACAATTTGTAAGTTAGTACATCTCCACAAAAATGCTTACACATGTGGGGGAGGGAGCTCAAGCAGTTGGTCATTAAGCATCCCATGAAACACTTAGGAAACTAAGGGCAATGTCTAAGAAAGATTTCAAGTGCCTACAACTTAGGCAGTTTAGTCCTTTTAGTTGCCCAGACCCCAGAGTGAATCCCACACCTTGTACAAAGTACCTGCACTCCCTGTACAATGTATGGGGAGAGCTAAGTACCAAGGGCATTCACAAGTTTACTGACAGCAGCCAATAATAAGGAAGTGCTGAGCATAGGGACTATGCTATCATCACATCCCACCTTCAGGGACTATTTTCTTACATGAAACACATCTTTTCCTCAAAAAATCACCCACTCCCCAAAAAACAATGTAGGGGTACATGCATTAAGCAGGGAAGCTGATTTTCTGCCCAGGATAGAAGCACCCTGTTTTAATTCCTGGTCCATAGCACAGCAGCTGTTGCATTACTATTCCGGCATCTGAGAAAATCAATTAAGAGCTCGTTGTTTATCCAGAGGTGGTAATTATCTCTCCTGTTTAGTGAGGTTAATGTTCTAATCAAGCTAGCGTTTCTTAGGGACGTATTGCTGACTTCTGCTATTCCTGGTTGGTGTCTCCTCCTGTTTCACAGCCTGGGAGACTTCTTAGCTCAGGGGTCAGGAATGTTTTTGTACAGAGTGCCAAAAACAACCACAACCTTAACCTGTAAGATGTTGGTGTGCTAGGGGCAGGTGGCAGGGGGAGCATCACAGGGCCCAATCCCTGTTTTGGCAGCACAGTCTTAGCCCCAGTCCCAGCCCCTTCCCTGAGGTGCGAGTGTCAAGCAAAATGCCTTCACGTGCCATACATGCTGGGGGTTGCCTACCCCATGTTTTAGGTCTTTTCAATAGCATAAATCCACTCATGGAGATCAGTCTTCAGCAGCAAGAATTTCAGCTTTAGTTAAGTAGGGCAGAGAGGGTGAGTGAGCTGAAGATTAGGCTCTGTCCCTGCTCTGTACAGCCATAACCCCAGAAAAAATCTTTTCTTCAGTCGGCCCTCCTGAAAACAAGGTGTGAATTATTTTCTGGGGTATGTTGCATATGAGAAAATACAGTATTTTAATATGAATTTAAGTTTATAGTTCAGATCAACTAGTTTATTGTTTAGGATTGTAGGAGACTGATTAGCAGGGATCTATCTGAGTTTTCCATTTTCCATGGAAAAACATGGACTTTCCCCTTTAAAAGGGAAAATCATGGATTTTCCTCTTTGAAGTGGGAAACCGCAGGATTACCATTTTGCAAACAGCTGTGCAGGCTGGCAGACTGTGGAGGGGGTGGGGGCAGAGCCTGATATTCTGATTCAGCCAGGGCTGGCTCAGACTCAGTTTCTCTCCCACAACCTTTGGTCTCTGCTGTGCCCTGCTGGGGGTAGGGATGGACCGGCAGTTAAGTTGGGTCTGGATCTGTCCAGGGAAGAAGGTGCCATCAAGATGGGACAGTGGTGGTGCTCTTATCCTGTAGGGCCAGGCCAACTCTCAGGATCTCAAAATTGCACTGTTAGACGGGAGGGTGTGACAATTTCACATATGCACACACAAAAATCAATTAGGTTCACATACACACACTAGGTGCATACACCCTCACCACCAACTCAGGCACACAGGCATCCAGAATTACCAGCCTAGACACATGCACACTGTTATCGGGCTGCCCCCTGGATCACCCCTGGGCTCAGGAGAGGATCTCCGGTTCTACTAGTCTGTTGGTTTACAGATGATAGATGGAGAAGCATAGCTGTTTAATTTTCAGCACTTGGCAGACCCCCTTTAAAATTTTTGACATAAAATTTTTTCCTTGGTTAGTCAGGATTTCGCAAGGGATGCCTACCCGGGCGAACCATTTCAGTAAAGCCCCCATTATGGCTGTAGCTGTCACTGACTTCAATGGTACCACTTCGGGGAATTGGGTGGCGTAGTCGATAATTACAAGAATGAATTGGTACCCAGCCTGGCTATAAGGAAAAGGTCTGGCTATATCGAGAGCAATTTGATCAAAAGGACGCCCGATATCAGAGGGACCTCCGACGGACTTATCCCCCCGATTTTCTGGCATTCGGGGCACTCAGCACAGAATTTTTATATCATTCTATATATGCCCGGCCAGAAGACCCTGCATTTTAACCTTGCTTCTGTCTTGTCCCTTCCGAGGTGCCTGCCCATGGGCAAAGTATGGGCCACCCTTATCAGAGCCTCCCAGTACTTGTGGGGTACCAAAATCTGCGGCCTCTCTCCTCCCTCCTCTTGATTCTCCACCTGATAAAAGATGCCTTTCCTTACTTCATACCATGGGTTCTGTGCGATTCTCTGTGGGTGCAGGGTTCCTTCTTCCTCTTGGGCAAGCTGGGACTGCCATATGTTCTGGAACAAGGGCTCCTGTCATTGTTCCTCTCAGAAGTGTCCTTTTCCTATGATTTGGTCTACATCCAGGCCTTCTTCTGGGTCCCCAAAACAGCTGGCCCAAGGGCTTCTTTCTCTGGCATCATTCGTTTTCATAAGCAGTTGTCAGATAACCTCTTCGAGGTGCGGCCAGTCTACCCCCAACAACATGGGACAGGGCAATGTTTCAGCCAAACCTACTGCGATCTCTTCAGTCTGCCCCAGTACTGAGAGTTTTACCTTCTTCTGCTCATATGTATAGGCGGCACTGTGCATAAAGATCATGCACACTGGGCTTTTGGGGCTCCCCAGGTTGGGGGGGGAACAGCTCCTTGCGTTCCATTGATTGGGAGCAACCCGTATCTACAACAGCGGGTATGATTGTGTCGCCTATTTTCACTTCTACCACAGGCTTGGCTTTCTCGCCTTGTCCTTTGTGTTGTCCAAAACTACAGTCCATCTCATCGTGCGCATCCTTTGTGGGAGTTGGGGTCT